TCAGACAACTGCTGAGTTTTGGCTACTCTGTGATGGAGTTATAGACGCAAGCCTCTCATAGAGTGTCTTAGAGGGTTCTCTCAAGACAATTTTAGAAAAAATGAATTGATTTTGTGCATTCTGACATATTTTGGAGAAAAAAGGTAGACATTTAGATTTGTTGAAAATAAAGTGGGGGTACAATATTGGGGGTGAAAACCACTTTTCTAGGGGGGGCAAATGTCCATCCTGTACCCTCACTGGCGCTGCCACTGGTTTTAAGCCACCTCCAAAGTAAATTGGTATCAAAAACACAGGCTCAAAACAGTTCAGAGTTAAGCTGCCTTAACTTCAGTCATCTGAACGCACTTAATGTAACGTACTAGGTGAAGACTATCACTAACGCATTGGCCAAGGAAGAATAATAATAAAACAGTTCTTACGTATTACCAGCATGGTTATATTTTAGTTTGATACAGTATTGTACTAGCTGTTCAGGATGGAGTATATTATAACTGTAAAGTGTCAAGCAGGAAGAAGGAAGTGTTGATGATGTTGAAATGACTATAAGTAGAAAGGGTGACATGTTGTGGCATCATTTATTGAGATTTTTAATGATACAGGAAGTTGATTGGCTTATCACCAAGAGAAAGAGCTCAGCTCATCTCAAAGAGAGAGCTTATCACAAAGAGAAAGATCTCAGCTCATCTCAAAGAGAGAGCTTATCACAAAGAGAAAGAGCTCAGCTCATCTCAAAGAGAGAGCTTATCACAAAGAGAAAGAGCTCAGCTCATCTCAAAGAGAGAGCTTATCACAAAGAGAAAGAGCTCAGCTCATCTCAAAGAGAGAGCTTATCACCAAGAGAAAGAGCTCAGCTCATCTCAAAGAGAGAGCTTATCACAAAGAGAAAGAGCTCAGCTCATCTCAAAGAGAGAGCTTATCACAAAGAGAAAGATCACATCTTAGAGGAGAGGCTTATCACAAAGGAAAGAGCTCATAACAGAAAGCTTATCCACACCAAAGAGATTATCACAAAGATATGGTCAAGAGAAAGAGCCTTTAGCAAAGAGATTATCCCAGGATATCACTTAGAAAAAAGAGCTCATTGCCCATTGAGAAAGAAGGGATTACAAAGAGCTTATCAAAACGAGAAAGCTTATAGCAAAGTGCTTATCATAAAAGCAAAGAGCTCATTACAAAGAGATTATCTCAAGGAGAAAAAAAAAGCAAGGAGCTTATTATAGACAAAGAGCTTACAATTATAATAACTTCTATATTCAAGAATGTACAACAATACTACTTAAAGTACTTATCACAAAGAGATAGAGCTCATTGCAAAGAGCTTATCACCAAGAGCAAGAGCTTATCACAAAAAACTAGCATGTAATAGCATGAAATTATCACTTAAGAAACTGCATGATAATGTGACCTTAAGTGGGAAGATGAGAAAGAGCTTATGACCAAGAGAAAGAGCTCATTGCTAAGGGCTTATCACCAAGAGAAAGAGCTTATGACCAAGAGAAAGAGCTCATTGCTAAGGGCTTATCACCAAGAGAAAGAGCTTATCACCAAGAGCAAGAGCTCATTGCAAAGAGCTTATCACCAAGATAAAGAGCTTATCACCAAGAGGAAGAGCTTATCACTCTCACTTAATAAACTGCATGATAATGTGACTTTAAGTGGGAAGATGAGAAAGTGTGATAATGGAAGAAAAGAAAGTGTGGAATATTTATTTAGAGAAGAAAATGTTGGTATTTTAACAAGAATCTAGTTGATATAGAATGTAATAATATAACTCTGATATTCACTGTCTATATCTATAAAGAACATACGAGGGTAGGTCAAAAAGTTTTATATCCCCATAGATTAAAGGGATTGTAAAGAGAGACTGGTGCTCCAATATTTTTAGTCTCAGAAATGGGAATTTTTTAGCTAAGCCAATCAGTAATAGTGTTCACAGCTCACTGTCGAAATTTGAGTCTTCAAATCCATGTGTGTCCAGAATTATCTACCTTTGAAAGTTAAAATGATGAGTCGTCTTTTCTTGAGACACTGTGATATATAGAAAAGACATCTATAGAAATAGTGAGTAAAATTCCTAGTTTGAGATATTTTTAAGGAATTATGTGATTTTCGTACATTTCTAGTACTTCTGAAGACTATTTATATATATTCAAGACTCAAATCAACTCCCGAAATGGTGCATCTGTCCCTTTAAAAATACACTTCTCATATCGACATAGTGAACTTCTTGCGGGTCACTCTAAAACATTGATTCACAACTTTTTGACCAACCCTCATACACATACTGAATATTGTGTAATCCACATTCCAGAGTCTTGCATCATGTGCTGCATTAAACACATGTCTGAACTGGTCGCTGGTGGTTTAGTGTGCATCATCTCTTTATCATGTGTTATTACTTAATTTTAACGTGATTCACTTTAGCAGGTAAACTGTGTACAAGGGACTAAGATAATACATATTCACTATGTCACTACATTTTCAAATCTGCCATTCAACGAACACTTAATCATGCATATCCCTTTTTATCATGTGTTATTACTTAATTTTAACGTGATTCACTTTAGCAGGTAAACTGTGTACAAGGGACTAAGATAATACATATTCACTATGTCACTACATTTTCAAATCTGCCATTCAACGAACACTTAATCATGCATATCCCTTTTTATCATGTGTTATTACTTAATTTTAACGTGATTCACTTTAGCAGGTAAACTGTGTACAAGGGACTAAGATAATACATATTCACTATGTCACTACATTTTCAAATCTGCCATTCAACGAACACTTAATCATGCATAGCCCTTTTTAACATGTGTTATTACTTAATTCAGGTAAACCTTGTCTTATAGACGGGGGTAATAAATATGCAAGTCAACTGATTTTCACACCTGCCAATCAAAACGTTTTAATACAACACTTTGTTTTGTAAATATGAACACACAAACAAAGCTTGTGAATAGCTACAGCTGTTTTGATTGGTTAAAATTTGAATTTGAATTAAGAACTTACTGGAAATTTTGCAAGATTTGGTTGCCTGGATCTGGTGTCAGAGTTTTCTTTCGTTCTTTCAACATTTCAACTTTTCATTCTGTAACCTGAAATTAACCAAAAATATAAATGAAAGCATTGAATTTCACTGAATTTTCCCTTAAAAAACAATGAATTTCCCTTTAATTTTCCCTTAAAAAAACATTGAATTTTCCTTTAATTTTCCCTTTAAAACCATTGATTTTTCTTTAATTTTCCCTTTAAAAAACCATTGAATTTTCCCTTAAAAAACATTGAATTTTCCCTCAATAAATATTGAATTTTCCCTCAATAAATATTGAATTTTCCCTAAATAAATATTGAATTTTCCCCCAATAAATATTGAATTTTCCCTCAATAAATATTGAATTTTCCCCCAATAAATTTTTCCTTCAATTTCACTGATTTCCTTTAATAAATACTGAATTTTCCCTTGAAAAGCCCTTGAATTTTAACTTAATTTTCCCTGATTAAATATTGAATTTACCCTCAATAAATATTGAATTTCCCTAAATAAATATTGAATTTTCCCCCAATAAATATTGAATTTTCCCTCAATAGATATTGAATTTCCCTCAATAGATATTGAATTTTCCCTCAATAGATATTGAATTTCCCTCAATAGATATTGAATTTTCCCCCAATAAATTTTTCCTTCAATTTCTCTGAATTCCTTTAATAAATACTGAATTTTCCCTTGAAAAGCCCTTGAATTTTAATTTAATTTTCCCTGATTAAATATTGAATTTTCCCTCAATAAATATTGAATTTTCCCTAAGAGTTGATGTCATTCAGAATGTATCATGAATCGTGTGATTATAATCCAAGCTAGAAGACGTTGATCTGTGTCTGGTCAGAGATCAGCAATAAACAACACTAAACAAAGAAGCTAAGAGCTATAAACTAGGCCAAGCTAGGACTAAATATATCTAAAGCTCTCTTAACCACAGACAACAATAAAATACAATATCTTAAGCTCTCTCTTCAGTCAAAGGTCAAGCGGGATCAAGAGCAATCATTTATCACTGCTGTAGATTTCGTCTGACCAAAGTTGGGGGTGGTCATCAAAGTTTGTTTTCATTATGACCATGGACATTATGGTGGTTCTTAGAAGGGGTGTTAGATTTGGTCCAAGGAAAGCCAAACTTATATACCAAAAAATGATAGAAGTATAACTTATAAAATTAAGTTAAATTAGCGGGTTATTTAAGACAGACTGTAGCACAGTTGGTTAGGGTATTGAAATGGTAGGTTCTAATCTTGGTTGGCATGTATTCTGGGTACAGAATAAGCCATCTTTCCTCATTATTCCAGTTAACCCAGCTGTAAATGGGTACAGATAATCCAGGAAAGATCAATGAGGTTTGGCCAACGGTCAGTTGGTAGAAAGGATCCTCATTATTCTAGTCAACCCAGCTGTAAATGGGCACATATAATCCAGGAAAGATCAATGCCAAGAGGTTTGGTCAAGGACCAGCTGGTAGACAGGATCCTCATTATTCCAGTCGACCCAGCTATAAATGGGTACAGATAATCCAGTAAAGATCACTGCCAAGAGGTTTGGTCAAGGACCAGCTGGTAGACAGGATCCTCATTATTCCAGTCGACCCAGCTATAAATGGGTACAGATAATCCAGTAAAGATCACTGCCAAGAGGTTTGGTCAAAGACCAGCTGGTAGAAAGGATACTCATTATTCCAGTCAACCCAGCTGTAAATGGGTACAGATAATCCAGGAAAGATCAATGCCAAGAGGTTTAGTCAAGGACCAGCTGGTAGAAAGGATCCTCTTGAACCAAAGTTGTTATCCCTGTAAGATCAATGCCTAGAGATTCAACATTACACCAGCTGGTAAAAAGGATCCTTGTAAAATTTGAAATTTAGACGGCTAGATACCTTTGAAGGAGTAGTTGAAAAGTCTGAGAGAGAAATAATGTTTGGTGCAGCCTTCAACTAAAATGAACCACCATAACTAAATATTTCTTCCTCAAATCATAACAAAGACTTCAAAGGCTGCCATTAAGAGGAACTACTTTGCCTGCGATTCTGTTACTGATATGTTGAAGGAATGGTAAGTTTGATAGATATTGAGTATTTAAAGGGAGCGGTTAAAGGGACAGGTGCACCATTTTTTGGACCAATCATACTTTAGTCTAAGAAACAGGAAATTTTTAGTTAAGTTAATCAGTAATAGTGTTCACAGCTCACTGTCGAAATTTGAGCCTTCAAATCCATGTGTGTCTAGAATTATCTGTGTTTGAAAGTTAATATGATGACTCGTCTTTTCTTGAGACACTGTGATATATAGAAAAGACATCTATAGAAATAGTGAGTAAAATTCCTAGTTTGAGATATTTTTAAAGGAATTATGTGATTTTTGTACATTTCTAGTACTTCTGAAGACTTTTTACATATATTCAAGACTCAAATCAACCCCCCAAAAATGACGCACCAGTCCCTTTGAATTTAAGAAAGCTTTTGAAAATTTTGAAATCAGTAAATCGAGTCATGATATTTGATGAATCAAACAAGGCCCTGACCTTGACCCTAAGCTTTCAGCTGATAGTGAATTGCGGCCATGTGGTTTCTGTACACTTTTAATAGGTTTGGAGAAATCGGAGGTAGTTTGTTTCATGTTATTTTTGATATCGGCTAATTATTTTGGTATACTGGTATACCTTACTAATCTTTGCCATTAAGAGAATTGAATTACAAATCAACGCCATTATCCTGGTGAAATTTCGTTGGTGCTCTTAAGGCATTGGCCTTCCAAAATTTAACTGTCCTGATGAAGATTGTTTATCAGAAACATGATGAATGGAGCTTTAGTCAATTGAACCAAAATCTCCTTGTGTAGTTCTTTTTGCTACAGGCTGTACGTGTTAAAGATTGGATTCCTTATTTTTTAGTGTCAAATTTAGCAAACTATTTGATTAATTGGTGTTTCTAATGAATTATCATGTATTCCTAATCATATCATTATGTTCTTATTGCATATAATTAAGAGTTTTAACCAATCATAAATGACCATGTATGTACAGTCTGGATAAACAAAAAAAAGACTTTTTGACCTTTCTTGATCGGTCACTCATTGGAATTCTGCTGGTAATTCTCTTCTAGCTAATTATGAATTAATTATGGACATGTGAGACAAACT